AATAACAATATGATATGCAAGCAGGGAGATGCAGGTGGATACTGTGTCCACTCCCCTTTTCCGCAGTCCAAAACTTCCCCTTCTCACTCCCCTCTGACCGTCCCTGGCTGTGGCCAGCATCTAAATCAGTCAGTTCTTTGCTCAGAACTTCACTGCTCCAAGGTCTGAGCCTTCCATGGCTCTGCCTAGGTAGGGATGTTGGTATCTTTTTACATCTCCAAGTTTACAGGTGTGGAAAACAACAAGAAATATTAGTAACAGTAACGAAGGGCCGTGGAGAATGACCATTTCCCTTTATCTACAGTTGACATTTAAATGTAGCTAAATGTCTCAAGTCTCTTTTAAAATGTATCAGTTCCCTTCCTCTGTCTTTTTTTTTTTTTTTTTTTTTTTAGTTTCACAATCTTGATTTTGCTGGCTGCATCATTGTGGATGCCCAATATGTTCCTCTTAATTAGATCTACAGGCCTGACAGATTTAGGCTCGATCTCTCCGCCCCCCCAATTATATTTCATTAGGAGTTACACGCCTAGTTGTTTCATTTTGTGATGTTAATAGTCATCAATGATCATTGCTAGATTCATTAATTCATTAAGGACTATAAAATGGTGATATTCTGAATCTAGCATATTGATTGATATATTTATATCAATCAATATGCAATATAGATATAGATATTGATTTCAGAAAGGAAGGGAGAGGGACAGAGAGAGAGAAACATCAGTGATGAGAGAGAATCATTGATTGGCTGCCTCCTGCACGCCCCCTCCTGGGGATCGATTCCGCAACCTGTACATGTGCCCTGACCAGGAATCAAACGGTGACCTCCTGGCTCATAGGTCAATGTTCAACCACTGAGCCACACTGGCTGGACCCCTCTGCAAAGAGAACATACCCTTATCAACTACTTGCTTACCTCTAGTGCAAGTTTATTCAAGTAAAATAGGATATATATGTTTCGTTCTTCCCCTTTATTTACTATTATACAAAAATGCATTTGTTTCCAAGCATCTTCCAAAGGTGGCCAGTGAGGCTGTTTTCCTTGTTTGGTTTATAAGTTGAATAGTGTTCTAGAAAAGTGTCTTTCAATACATACTTTTGTCCTCTTTCTCCTTTCACTGAGAACGACCCCACCTTAGTAAATGACCTCAATCTGTTGAAATAATGCACCAGGCACCTGGAAAGATCCCTTGGGTGGGAGCCTGGAAACTTGCATTTTCTCAGCATGGAAGCTGAGCTCACGTGTTCAAATCCACCCACCCTTCCAAGCCTCCGCGGGGGTGAGCACAGGAACAGACATGATTTCTGACCAACATTGTGCATCCCTGTGTCCATCCTCCCTTCCAGCAGCATCATTCTTTGGGTTGCTTGTGGTCCATAGTGAAAGATTGCTAATTATAATGATGATTGATGGTTTCATTAAACGTGCATTCGAAGGGCTTCAGGGTTCCGCTTAGGAAAATGGCGACCACTTCCCGCGCGCCCTCTCTCCACCTGGGACCGTGCGGGATGCTGGGCAGACCTGCTCTCCTTTGTTTCTCACAGAGACTCTGCTGGATGGGGTTCTGGCCCTCACTTACAGAACCAGCTGAGAAGCTCGGGAACTGGAACCTGGCTCCCCTGTGCTTTTCTTACCAGGTTCACCTGGAAGGAAAAAGGCTTTTCATTCATTCATTCATTTTGCTGCTCTGATCACAGGAGGGACTATTGTTGACAGATTCCCCGGATCCTGACAGTCAAAGGTGAATGAATTTACCTATTTGCCTCAAGCTCTTTTCTCCTTCCTGTAGGAAAACACTCTTCACACGGACTTATAATTAGTTCTGCCCGTTACTTTTTCAAACCATATAATTAGCAGGTCTTCCCACAGATGCCAGGAAGTTGAGGGGCTGAGGTCAAGGCTACCTGAAGTGGCCAGCGGATTCACCAGCCTACTGGATGGCTCGGAACCAGTTAACCTGGACAGGTATATATTAAGCCGGAAGTCTTGTTCGCTTTCCTTTGCGCTCTCTTTGATCTCTCATTATGTCTAATTACAACAGGCTTCTCACCTTGCTCAGTTTAGTTTTGTGGAATTTTGTTTGTCATTGTTTATGGCACTTAAGCGACTTGTTAAAAAGGCCTCAGGGACTCAATGGCAGTTAGAGACAAAGGAATGAGTAGCCAGGGAACACACACACACACACACACACACACACACACAAGCACACCCCTCAGATCCCCACAGCCCATCTGGTCTTGGAGCATAATTCTAATAAGTAGGACAGCCAATTCTCCACCTCTGAAAACCTGTACAGGCTTCAGAATAAATCCAGCTGATTTCCAAACCTATTTATTCATTGTTAGATTGTTTGGGGCAAATTTTTCCTTGAAGATTCTAGCCATTAAAATGTTTCAATTATTTTCCTAAAAACTGTATAAAGGCCCAGCTGGCATGGCTCTGTGGTTAAACATCGACCTTTGAACCGTGAAGACCGGGTTCGATTCCTGATCAGGGCATGTGCCTTGGTTTCTGGCCGGTCCCCAGTGTGGGGCGTGCAGGAGGCAGCTGATTGATGATTCTCTCTCATCATTGATGTTTCTGTTTCTCTCCCTTTCCCTTCCTCTCTGAAATCAATAAAAATATATTTTTAAAAAACTATATAAAGAAGTTTTCATTTTGCTTTTTTGGAAGGGTAGCTTGAAAAAATAACAGCTCAGCAGCATGTGCTGCGGGGTCCTCAGACAGTACCCACTGTGCACTGAAGGGCGAAAATAGCTTACAAGAAAAGGGAAGTGAGCTTCTCATGTCAACAACACCTGTGAGAAAATATACGGCTGAAAAATAAGGGAAACTAAAGGTTTACACAAATACCTTGAAAAGTATCTTTATATATAAAAGCCTAAGGGAGTAGACGACCAGACAACTGAACGACTGGTTGCTATGACCTGCACTGACCACCAGGGGACAGACACTCAATGCAGGAGCTGCCCTCTGGTGGTTAGTGCACTCCCACAGTGGGAGAGCTGCTCAGCTGACTGATGGGCACCAGACACAGGGCTCATGGCTGGCAAGCACCACTGCAGTGGTGCTAGCCTCTCCCAACAGGGACTGACTGGGTGCCAGCCCGCAGCAGGCTCAGCAGGGCCAGGATGACCAGGAATGGCAGGCAGGAGTGGCAGGCGGTGTTGGACTGCTGGTCTCGATCCAATCCCTGCAGACCAAGCCGAGGGACCCCACTGGTGCACAAATCTCTGCACTGGGCCTCTAGTTTCTTTAATAATAAAACTAGTCCAAGACTAAAAACTCTAAAATATTTATTTAAGATGGTCTTGACCTGGAATACAATGGATAGGAAATATAGGATGACTGAGCATTAAAGAGGACAATTCTTTTATACAGTGGACATTTAAAGAAAATCAATAGCTCTAGCTGGTTTGGCCCAATGAATAGAGCATAGGCCTGAGGTCTGAAGGGTCCCGGGTTCGTTTCCAGTCAGGGGCACATGCCTGGGTTGCAGGCTTGATCCCCAGTAGGGGGCGTGCAGGAGGCAGCTGATCAATGATTTTCTCTCATCATTGATTTTTCTCTCTCTCCCACTCCCTTCCTTTCTGAAATCAATAAAAATATACATGAAAAAAGGAGAGAAACAATAATGCTAAATAGATTATAGATAAAACAAAGATTTAAAAAAATGATTTTGAATGCAAATTCATTTCACGGTAGAGAATTTTAAAAGGACTTTTAGAAATTATTGCTAACTTATTTTGGGGCAAAGGATTTTTACATTTAGATCCATTTTCACACTTGCTTCCTGTTCTTGCTACCTTAAAGGACTTAAGACTTTGCATTTCATTATCAGTGGAACTCTTTTGTCCCTCCTGTACCAAATGCCCAGACTTCCTTCTTGTAGGCAGAAGTTATAACATAAAACACTACACAAACCTTTGTAGGAGCCTATATGCTTAAGTAGGAAAGTAAAAACTCACTGTTGCGGACACCGGTTTGGTTCAGTGGATAGAACGTCGGCCTGCAGACTAAAGGATCCCAGGTTCGATTCCAGTCAAGGGCATGTACCTTGGTTGCAGGCACATCCCCAGTAGGGGGCGTGCAAGAGGCAGCTGATCTTTGACTCTCTCATCGATGTTTCTAACTCTCTGTATCTCTCTCCCTTCCTCTCTGTAAAAAAATCAATAAAATATATTAAAAAAAAGAAAAAGAAAAGAAAAAGAAACATGGATGAGAGAGAAACAGATCAGCTGCCTCCTGCACACCCTCCAACTCCACCGGGATGTGCCCGCAACCAAGGTACATGCCCTTGACCGGAATCGAACGTGGGACCTTCCAGTGCGCAGACCGACGCTCTATCCACTGAGCCAAACCGGTTTCGGCAATATTTTTACTTTTCATATCAGGGGCTTTCACTAACATAAAAAAGATAAAAAATCAAACTTTATGTAAGTGGACGCTGAACGGGAATGGCTGGGACCACAAGCGTTGTTCAGGGGGCGAATGTGCTGTCCGCTGGCCCCCAGAAGCCTCGCTTTGCTTGCTTTTTATAGTTGCGTTAGACACAGACATAAAACTCACTCTCCTCGCGCTATTTTAGGCGCACAGGGCTCTAGGCGCGGTCAGGGTGGGGTCCCTCTTCCTCGCCTCCCTTTGTTGTCCCTCTCTGGCTCGCCAGTAGGGGGCGGCCCCAGCCAGCGCACCAGCCGCGCTCCCGGAGGCACCGCCCACGCATGCGCGCCTCACCTGCGGGAAGGTGGGCGGGGCGGGGCCGGGGGCGGCGGCGCGCAGGCGCGGCCGGCCATTGTGACGTCAGGCGGGGCGGCGGGCGGCGCGGGCGGCGTCTCCCCGGCGCTTCCCACAGGGACGCGGACTGCGCTCCCGGGCCCGCCGCCGCCTCCCTCGCTCTCAGCGCGCCGAGCGCGGGCCAGCGGCCGGGGCGGAGGCCGGGGCCCGCGGGCCTGTCGAGGGCGGCGGGGGCTGAGGGCGCCGGCGGCGGGCGCGGGGCTATATGGCGGCGGCGCTGTCGGGCCTGGCTGTCCGCCTCTCGCGCTCGGCCGCCGCCCGCTCCTATGGGGTCTTCTGCAAGGGCCTGACCCGCACGCTGCTCATCTTCTTCGACCTGGCCTGGCGGCTGCGCATCAACTTCCCCTACCTCTACATCGTGGCCTCCATGATGCTCAACGTGCGCCTGCAGGTGGGTGCGCCGCGCCGCCGCCGCCCCGGCCGCCCCTCGCCCGCCGCCCCCTCCCCGCCGCCCTCCGCGGCCTCCCGGGCCGCCCCACCGCCCTCCGCGGCCGCCCCGCGCCCGCTGCCCCCTCCCCGGGCGCCCCGCCGCCCCTCCGCGGCCTCCCTTCCCCGGCCTCCCCGCGCCCGCCGCCCCTCCTCGGCCTCCCCGCCCCCCTCCCCGTCCCCCTCCCCGCGCTCCCCGCGCCCGCCGGCCCGCCCCCCTCTCCGGGGCCACCGGGATGCCGCGGGCCGGGATGCTGAGTGTTTGCCGGGCTCCGTGCATTTATTTGTCTGCAGCCCCGGCGAGCCCGGCTGCGGGGCTGGTCACCCCCGATCTGCGCGCACGGCCGGGGGCGGGGAGGGGGCGGCTGGGCGCTCGCCCGGGCTCAGGGCCTGCCGCCCGGGCGGGTCCGCGGAGGGGCCGGGGGCGGGGGTGGGGTGGGGATGCTGCGGGGAAGGCCTGGCCCTGAAGAGGACATTTTGCCTGGAAAGGGACACATTTGTTTGGGGGGAGGGGGGTGCGGCGGGGCGCTGGAGTGGTTGGCTGTTGTAGTTCCCAACCTTAAGAAGCCTCGGAGAAAAATTACCCTTGAAACTGAACCCGGGTGAATGGATGTTACCGAATGTTCTGGTAGATGCATCTCATTGACCCTGGCCGGAGGTGAGAGTTGGGTGAGGGTGAGGATGAGGGAGAAGGGGGTGGAGGAGGTGGAGACGCCGAAGGTCCAGAGGCCAGCAGCAGGTCAGATGTGAGCCCGCGGAAGGACACACACACACACACACACACACACACGGCACCCTGGAGACCACCGCGTTGTAAATGACATCTCTACATCCTTGAATTACTGGCGCCTTTTAATCTAGCGGAACAAAAAGTCGGCAGGTTGAGAAGGATTCCTGTCTAAGTGTGTTGTCATACTGACTGTGAAGGAAAGCTCAGTACACAATGTTGAGAATTAGTTTTGTGCCATTAAAAAGTCTGTTCTCTTTGTGCACGGCCTGCCTCGGCCAGGCCACGGGGCCACTCGCCCGGCCCACCACGCGGCCTCCCGTCTGCTTTCCCAGGGCAGGTGGGAGGCATGTCCTTCGCAGAAACAGAACCAACACAGAACTCCGCACTGCACACAGAATGCAGACCTGACTTCTCTTCCTCTTTTTAGACAACCTCCTAGCTTGTTTGTGGCTTCCTGTTCTTTTTCACCCTTCCCGACCTGCTGATCTACCGTCTGCCTGCACCAAGCCCAGGACATGTGCAGTTTTTAAAAATATATATGTTTTACTGATTTTTTACAGAGAGGCAGGGAGAGGGATAGAGAGTTAGAAACATCGATGAGAGAGAAACATCGATCAGCTGCCTCCTGCACACCCCCCGGGGATGTGCCCGCAACCAAGGTACATGCCCTTTACTGGGATCGAACCCTGGACCTTTCAGTTCGCAGGCCAGTGCTCTATCCACTGAGCCACACCGGTCAGGGCCATTTGCAGTTTTGTGCCGCCTTGCCTGCTCTTCCCTGGCTTTGGGCGCTGGGGCCTCTCCCCCTCAGCTCTCCTCTCCTCTCCGAGAGGACCTGTGTGGTCACCAGCCCTATGGACGTGATCTCTCACCTGCTCTCTCCATGGCGGGAGCGCCCCAGGCTTGCTTGTTTGTGTGCGATCAGGAATTAAGGGATCCGGATCTCCCACTGTTTGGAAGGCAGTGAAATACCCGGCAAAGGTTATTCCAGTACAGATTTCATAACGAGGAACCTACACGCTGATGGTTGCGGGGGAGTGCGTTTCGAAGGAGGGGATGGCTCTGTCCCAGCCGGACAGTCAGGAGAGCTGGGCGCACTGGTCCCCAAGCCCATCGCAGTCGCTTGGTGGACTTGATGCCACGTGACAGCCCAGGTGCAGCACAGCTCTAGTGCATCATGGGAGCTGAATGCTCTAGGAGGCCACTGGGGGCCCTTGCAGTCGGGTCGGGGTGAGTGGGGGCGAGGGGCACACAGGTGGTCGCCGGGGACCTCTGGGAAGGGCTCAGAACAGTGTGGGGCTTTTAGGTTTGCTGCGACCATGCCATATGCTGAGGGGACGGAGGGAGCAGGTGTCTCACTGTAATAGTCACATCTGCTACTTTAATTCCCCTGCAGATTGAGGGGTTCTGTTCGTTTGTGGAAAATCACTAAGGGACCTGAGCTGAGGGTTTCAGTGTTGGGCCTCTGCTAAAGGGAAGTGCAGCGGAAAATAGGATCTGAGTAAAGGGGTCAGCCTGGCTCACCGCTGTCCTTTCACTCAGAGCACAGTCCCCGTCCCCTCCGTTCCCCGGGCGCTGGAATCTGCTTTGCAAGAAGGAATGAAGGACTCCGTCCCCCCAGGTTTACTCAGAACTCCCGTGGAGGGCAGGGCACATTTTAAGGAGGTTGCCATCTCTTTACTGTGAAAGACGATTAAATGAGAAAACAGCTGCAAAAGGTTTATAAACCGAGAAGGGTTATGATCTTAAAGTGCTGTGTGTAAGCAAGCCTTAATCAAGAGCCATTAGCATCCTACTTATGTGTACAGAATCTGAAATTCGTGGCAGTAAAACCTGAGAATTCCTACGAACTGTGAGTGTAGTCAGAGCAAGGTAGGAAACTGCGCTGAGAACGATTGTAATTGATAAGCCCTGCGGACACCTCAGTTACGTGGCTGCGGGAAGAATCAGGTGTCTCAGCCCAGCTCACCCAGATTCCTATAACTGCTAAGAGGGAGGGAATTAAAAAAAAGAGCCGAAACGGTTTGGCTCAGTGGATAGAGCGTTGGCCTGCGGACTGAAAGGTCCAGGGTTCGATTCCAGTCAAGGGCATGTACCTTGGTTGTGGGCACATCCCCAGTGGGGGGTTTGCAGGAGGCAGCTGGTCGATGTTTCTCTCTCATAGATGTTTCTAGCTCTCTCTCCCTCTCCCTTCCTCTCTGAAAAAAATCAATAAAATATATTTTTTGGGAAAAAAGAGCAGTTGGCGAGCAGAAGGCATGAGCAGGTTGATGATAGCTGTCAGACTGCCTTGTCAAGTGCCCTTGTGTTCCTGCGATGCCACCCTGCCCTGTGCTGACCAGGCCTGAGCACCTCCCTTCGCCTTCCCTCTTCTCATTCTGTTTCTAGCTGCTCTGCATAGTCTTCTCTTTCTGAATGCCTGTCTAAATGCGTAGCACCATATGCTCCAATGTTCACCTATCACCTGAAAACCACATCCATTCATTCCTGCAGGAAAAGAGTTCAGGAAGGCAGGTAGGGCTGGGGAAGCAGTCCGCGGGGACCTCACTGAGAAGATGGCCTTTGAGCAAAACTTGCCAGGAGGTGAGGGCTTCAGCCTTAGGAACTCTGGTCAGAAGTGGGCTCCCCTTGCACAGAGAAGGCCCTGTTGCTGGCGGGAGCCTCGTGTGTTCCGGGACAGAGGGAAGCTGGTCATTGAGGAAGAAGGTGGCAGGAGCCCACATGGTGTGGCTCAGTGGTTTAGTGTCAACATAGGAACCAGGAGATCACAGTTCGAATTCCAGTCAGAGCACATGCCTGGGTTGCAGGTTCAATCTCCAGTAGCGGCTGTGCAGGAGGCAGCTGATCAATGTTGTTTTTCTCTCTCTCCCTCTTCCTTTCTCTCTGAGATGAATACAAATACATTTTTTAAAAAAGAAGGTGATAGGAGATCAGACTGAAGTTGAGGGGAAGCTTACGTGGTGTCTTAGAGGCACTGAAAGGACTTGGCCTTCCGCTCTGTGAAATGACCTCAGGACTGAACACCTTCAAAAATTAGTAAAGACTCCAAAACCCTAGTCCCAGGGTCAGGGCAGTTTGACATGAATTTTATTCTGTTGCTTTATTTACATCAGGTTGATATTAAGTTATGAGTTAGATCGATACGTGCTATGTTAAAATGTATCCATCACATGTAAGTAAAGAAAAGCACGTGTAGCCAGCCAGTGTGGTCCAGTGGCTGAACATCTACTTATGAACCCTCTTCCTTTCTTAAATCAATAATAAAAAAAATTATATATATATAATTTTTAAAGAAAAGCAAAACAAGTTTAAAGCTCTTATTTTTTTTCATATTTAGAAAATAAAATGAAGGTGGGCCCTAACCTTATACCTTATATAGAAATTTACTCAAAATGGATTAAAGACCTAACCTTAAGAACCAAAACTAAAACTGAGAAACCACAGGGGAAAATCATGATATTGACTTTGGCAGTGATTTCTTGCCAAAAGCAGAAGCAACAACAACAAAAAATTAAAAATTTAATCAAAATTAAAACTGTGCATCAAAGAACACTATCATGAGAGTGAGAAAGACAACTCACAGTGGGAAGAAGTATAGGCAAACACTGTATCTGGTACTGATTAATATCCAGATATAGAAAGAGCTCGGCTCAACAGCAATAAAAACAGCCCAATTCTAACCCCGGCAAAGGATTGGAAAAGACGGCTTTCCCCTCTGTCCCTACCCGGCGCTGTGATGGCCGTGAGTGGCCAGTTACCCAGAAAAGGCAGACACGTCCATATGCTCTGCAGACGCCCTCGGCAGCTTGTCATCGCGCCCTGGCACTCTGTGTGCCATGATCGCTGCTGTGCCTTGGCTGCTCTGGGGGCCGGTCGGTCAAAAAGATGCTGGTGCTTTTTCACACATCGGGTCCCCCAATTCTGAGGACAGGGCGTGGCCCCCTCCAGCGGGACTGCCGGCCTGGGAGGTGTGAGCCGGCCCCGGGTGCTGGGACGAGGAAGGGGTGGTGGCTCGGAGGGCCGTGTGAGGGACCTGCTGGATGACGTGTGGGTGGCGGGAACTGGTGCTGGGTGCGTCCTGTGGCCATGATTCACTGCTGCAGAGGACGGAGTCCTTCCTGCTTGGCTGAAGCTGGGAGCCGGTGCGGAGTCAGTGTCAGCTACACCCGGCGATCATTAGTCACGGTGCCAGCTGTTAGGTGAGCGATGGTCACTCTCACAGCCGCGGAGGCAGGGAGGGTCCTGCCGGTGTTTGCGCCCAGCACAGGCAGGACCTGCTCCACACGCTGTCCGCAGGCCCTGGGGAGCAGCCTGCCAGCGGAGCGGACAGGCTCCAGGCCGGGGTATTTTTAGTATCCAGACCGGCAGGTTCCGAGGCCATTAATAGCGCAGGTCAGGTCAGGGAAGGCGGGGAAGGGAAGGGAACGTGCCTAATTGGGTCAGGCCATTGTCGCCAGGGCCAGCTGCCCCTCGGGAGGGGTGTCTGTGGAAGGTGACTTCCGTGGTGGCTCTGAGGACCTGGCCGCACCAGACGGTCTGGTTTTCTGTGCGCCTCCCGGCTCCAGCTCTGGGTTCCGTTTCCAACCTGTGCCATACATTGGGGGAGGGGGGGGACGGGGAGAATAGTTCGGGAGCCTCTCACAGGCCTGCCCTTTGTCTTCCTGAGTCCTACTGTCTGAGCTTTAATATATAATAGATCCTCCCTTCAGCTGCTGGCTCCGTTTGGGGGCTAAGGCTGTGTGCCATGATTTAGGCTGCCTGTTGTGTTATAGGGTAACACGGGAGCGGGAGGCGGTGGCATAGCTGGGGCCAAGGAGAGCTCCTTACATGATCACGTGTGCTTTAGGTACAGTGTGATGTACCAACACGTGTAATGTAGTGGCATAGACTACAAAAAGTGCTTTACAAACGGCTCGTCTGGAAATTGTATGGAAGTTCTTCCTGGCTCTCAGGATGGAAATGTGTGTGTAACAGCCTCATGTCAGATGGAAGTGTGTGTGTGACAGCCTCATGTCAGATGGAAGTGTGTGTGTGACAGCCTCATGTCAGAGCGCGGGCTGTGGAGGCTCAGAGCCACTGTCTTCGCTGAGCTGGAGTTTCTGCAAACAGAACTAAGTACATGGTTTTTAATGAACTTACTGAAGAACCAGAAGATCTTTAGCAAAAAGTTTATTCTGTCCTTCTTAAACACACCATTACTTCATTGATTCTATGGATGGGGCCTTATTAAAACATGTAACCCAATTCTGGGAATGCCTCGTTTTCAAAACAGGACTGAGTCCTTGTGCAAGGACATAGGAGAAGTGGTTACAAACGAATTTTCCTGAGAGTTGGCCCATATTAAATGACCTGCTTTTCTTAAGACTTTTTTAAACCTATGGTATATTAAAATATATTAAAGGCATATTAGGGAATGCTTCCATTTCAGGAAAATAGTTCAGTCTTGGTATATTTCAAATTAGTAAACTAAATATAAGACTTGACATAATACAGTTTGGAAGTTAATTTGAGAGAGTCTGTCAAGAGGAGTTGATTAGATTCGACGTGGTAAATTTTGAAAGTATTGTTTTGAGTTGTAGACAGAATTCACACCTTACAAGAATTGCATCTCTTGCCCTAGTCGGTTTGGCTCAGTGGTTAGAGCATCAGCCTGCAGACTGAAGGGTCCCGGGTTTGATTCTGGTCAAGGGCACATATCTGGGTTGCAGGCTTGATCCCCATAGGGGGTGTGAGGAGGCAGCCAGTCAATGATTCTCTCTCATAGTTGATGTTTCTAGCTCTGTCTCTCTCTTTCCTTTCCTCTCTGACATCAATAAAAATATTTTTAAAAAGAAGAAGAAGAATTGCATTTCTTGCCCTGGCTGGTGTGGCTCAGTGGTTGAGCGTCGTCCCATGCACTGAGAGGTTACTGGTTCAGTTCCTGGTCAGGGCACATGCCCCAGTTTTGGGCTTAATCCCTAGTAGGAGGCATGCAGGAGGCAACTGATTGATGGCTCTCAATCCTTCTCCCTTCCTTTCTGAAATTAATAAAAACATATTAAAATAAAAAAGAGCCCTAACCGGTTTGGCTCAGTGGATAGAACGTTGGCCTGCGGATTGAAGGGTCCCAGATTCGATTCTGGTCAAGGGCACGTACTTTGGTTGCAGGTACATTCCCAGTAGAGGTGTGCAAGAGGCAGCTGATCAATGTTTCTCTCTCATCAATGTTTCTAACTCTCTATCCCTGTCCCTTCCTCTCTGTAAAAAATCAGTAAAATATATTTAAAAAAATTAAAAAGATCTCCACCTCTTAAAAGTTCTCATCACAAGAACAAAAAAACAACACACCTCTAACTACGGTGATATATGTTGATTGTGGTGATCATTTTGCAATATACATAGATACGGGATGTTGTACACCTGAAGCTTATAGAATGTTATGTCATCTATATCTCAACTTAAGAATGATTGCACCTTCCGTTTGCATATTGCTTTATGTTTTCCAGTTGTATATGGAATAATGGTCACACTGATAGCAAAAAGTTTTGTGCACACCCCACAGATATATACAGGAATGTATACACACACTTTGCATAATTACAAAGGCAGTGTTTGTTAAAATATATTTTATTTTCAAAATTGAGCTATCAGCTGTTCAAGTGTGTCCCCCAAACATGTACTAGTATATACACTTGGGCTCCCGTTATTAATTCCAGTGGGTTAAATCTGAGTAGAAAGAAACATCAGTTTAACTGTCACTGTTAAGGTGTGTATACTTTTTTTGGGGACATTCTGTTCTGTTTATATATACTATTTATAAGCCATATATTTTGCTCTACCAAAATATGGAATATGTTATAGAGCATAGAAAAAGTTAAAAGGGGGTGAGATGGAAATGAGCTAAGCAGACATTTGATACAGTCTCCCATGCTCCTTGAGGTGGGGTCACCCATGACTGCTAGAAGGTTGCATGTAGTTTTCGAGGTTTGCCTGAGCTTACTAAGCTGTTTGTCAGGGAACACATGTGTGTAACGCCTCCTTTCGAAGCTCTCAGTGCAGCTGGCATCTCCCTCCCTGGTGGCCCTGGTCTGTTGGTCTTTGGGTCTCGGAGATCCCGGCCTTGTGCCCTCAGCATGCCCATGTTCTGTCTGCGTGCGATGCCGCCTCCCGAGGCTGGCCTCAGAGTGCCATCCTCCAGCTCTGACATCTCTTGAGATGAGGTCTTTATTATATATTTACTAGAGGCCCAGTGGGGAGGGTCTCTCAACCCAGCCTCCTCTCACAGTCCGGGAGCCCTAAGGGGATGTCCACTGACAGCTTAGGCCCGCCAGGGAGTTGGACATCCTTAGCGCTGCTGCTGAGGTGCTCGCTAGCCTTGAACCGGCTTCTGGCTGAACGGTACTCCCCCTGTGGGAGCACACGGGCCACCAGGGGGAAGCTCCTGTGTTGAGCGTCTGCCCCTGGTGGTCAGTGCCCATCATAGTAACCTGTCATTCGCCGTTGGGTTGCCTTTTATGTAGGATAGGATAGGATAGGATGTATGTAGTTGTTTGTTTATTTTGGTTAACCCTAACCCGAGGATATTTTTTCATTGATCTTTAGAGAGAGTGGAAGAGAGAGGGAAAGACAGAGAGGAGCATCGATGTGAGAGAAACACATCAATGGGTTTGCCTCCTGCACGCGCCCTGACCAGGGCCTGTGAGGGGAGGAGCCTGCAAACAAGGTATATGCCCTTGACCGGAATTGAACTCAGGACTCTGGTCTGCAGGCTGATGCTCCATCCACTGAGCCACACCACTAGGGCGAGATGAGGTCTTCATTAAGCTAGCTGCTCAGCGAAGCCCCGTCCACCTCTCGGTGTGTCCCTGTCTGAATGCCCCCCATTATCAGTGAGTGGCCCCTGGTGACCCGGAGTGAAAGCCAGGAGAAACCTGTTACCGCCCCCTCTCCTACATCGGGTCAGCCAAACCAAGTGCTTCCTCTCCTCTCTGCTCACAGCCCCACGCCGTCCTGGCCCTGTGCGTGGCATCCCTCCTCATTGGCCTCGTGCGGTTCCTTCCAGTCTAGCCCCCCTGCAGCCGGAGTAATTCATCCGAAACCAACCCAGCACCCCGTGCCTCCCACCCCTCGGAGGCCGTTCTGGCTCCTGGTGCCGGAGCTGTGCCTCCTGTCGGCTCCCCATCCTTAGCCCTGAGCCTTCCCCTCCAGCCTCCACGAGACTCTTTCCCTTTCTTCTTGGTGCCCTCCTTACACTTCTAGAACAATCCACACACGGAGGGAGGCAGTCTGCCGGGCTGGAGTCTCCTAGTTCCCAGGTGGGTTACCCCCTGCCTCTGTCTCCACGCCCGAGGCCACCCCCTGGCTGCACTGCTGCTCCCGCGGTGACAGCCTCGTCTCTGAACTGCTCGCCCGTGGTTTTGTCCGTGTCTCTCGGAGGGGGAGGGCTTGGTGCACACCGGCCCGTAAGGAGCCAGCGAGCGCCATCGGCGAGGACACTGCGCCGGGGAGGCGCCTCAGGAAGCCAGTGCACACAGCTGCTGTGGGGAGCACGGCCACGGCTGTGTAGTGCGGTGGGAACTGTGTGACCGCAGTGCTCTCTCTCTGTTGTCCTCTCGCGGCAGGTGTCCGTTTTCCACCAGAAGCGGGGCTCGCGCACGAGGCCGCCCGTTGGTGGGCAGTGCTGACCGGGGACTCCTCGCCGCTGTGACACTGCCATGTGGTTGTCTTTCCAGGTTCACATCGAGATCCACTGAGGACTCCGGCCGCCGCACAGGCGTCCGCGGCCCCGCAGCATGAGGGACGGCACCGGCACGGGGACCCTGGGCACCGGCCTCGCCACGGAGCCGCGCGGGGACTCGGCCAAGCGACCGTGCAGCCTGCGAGCACGGGAGAGCCCGCGCCCACCGGGCGCCCGGCCCTGGGCGGAGGCGCCTGCGGGGGATGACCACGGAGACGCACAGAACGAGACGGTGTCGCGGGAAACGAAGAGTGCCCCGCGCGAGGCCTGGCTTCCCGGCGGCACCCAAGTGCCGGCATGTTTGACAGAATCATCGAGGAGAAATTCGGCTGCCGCGGTGGCTCCGGGCAAGACTGTGGATCCGTCCTTGGGGCCTGCGGGGGAGCGCCTCGCGGGGGTGCCCTGCGGTGTCGGGGCGGCCCCGGTGAGGGACTGGCTGGAAGGGCCCCGGGCCACCAGCAGCCACCGAGGCCGGTGCCGCAGAGGAGAGCTTGGGGGGCCAGGGCTGCCACGCGGCTCGCGGTCAGGAGCGGGCGTCTCTGCCGGGGAGCCGCCTGGCCGGCCCGAAGTGCTCCCGAGCGATGGCAGTGCGCTTCCCCGGCACACAGAGCGCGGGGAGGTGCCGCCCCGCGCCCCCCGGCCCTCCGCGGACCTGCCGCCGGCCCCGGGCCCTGTGGGCTTGTGACGCAGCCACGCCGTTACCCCGCGGTGGAGGTCCCGGCTGCACAATAAAATGTGAGATTCCTCCCACTCTGCCCGGTTTCCGTCCGGACCTCAGCGAGCGGGACTGGAACTCGGGGAAAGCTGGTGACGTGGAAGGACATTACCGATCGTGTTTTAAATTTGCTTGAAAGCCGTTCAGGATCGGGAGACCATTTCGGGGAGAACAGGATCATAACCTGCATAGATGTCAGATTAGACCGTAAAGATGTGATTTAAAGTTCCTTACAAACCATCACCCGTCCTGGCTCCTGTCCCAGACGCTGTCTCCCCGGCCGGCTGACCATCTCCAGGATGCTGTGTTGATGACGTGCTGTTATCATTGCTTCGATTTTGTAGGATCATTGTGGTCGGAGAAAAACTTGATTTCTTTTCTCGCCTTCCTTTCCTCCTGCAATGAGATGTTAGCGGAGGCCCTACGGTGAAAGCTGCAATGTCAAGCTCGCCTTTAGAATAAACCTTTCTCCAGCCGAGACCCTGGCAGCGTCCCTGAACCGGAAGCGAGCGTGAGACCCCGCGGAGAGGCAGCTGTGGGGCCCTGGGCGGGCTGGCAGCTCCAGGAGTCCGGTGCCTCTTGGCAGCGGGTTTCCTGTGCCCACTCCTGCCTTGTTGTGTGTGATAACTTGGACAGAGGTCACTGAGGAGCGTGCATTTGTAAGGATGATGACAGCCGTTTCCGGGTGACGGATTGCATAGACCAGTCTGTATTGTGTGCTAGGTCACCATGCCCTGTGCTCTCTTAGTGTTCTGGGAAATGAGAAATAAAGTCTGCTCTTTAGCACAGTAAGTGTCTGACTCTATGCGTACAGTCTCGGTTCACCTTGTCTTCTCATTGATGCTGCCTCCTCCTGCGTAAAGTCTGTCAGCGCGGTGGCCAGGCTGCGGCCAGGGCAGAGCTCGGAATCCATGGGAAGCTCCTGGGCACGCAGCCCCCGCCTCCTGGGATGGGTGGAATTTGGGCTGTGTGGTCCTTGGGGTGGAGCTCCGAGCCCCAAAGTGAGAGTCCTCGGGAGGGAACAGTGTCTGATTGAGCAACTCAGGCCCGGCCGGCAGACACTCCGGCGAAGTCACTCGGTTGTGAAATGAGACGAGGACATTTCAGTGTTTTAAAACGAGAGCTGGTTGCCAAGCCTTTCTCCTCTGACCCTACCTATTTTTTTTTTTTTTTTTTTTTTTTAAGTCTGCTCCATTGGGATAGAACTTTCCATGACTTTTTTTTTTTAATTTCTTTCGGTTTATAAATTGCAAGTATATAACTTTGCAACCAATTGCAAAGAAAAAAACAGGGATTTCTCATTTGGGTTCAAATGCTAAATGAATACATTTGAAATGTAGTTAGAATTCGGTGTGCTTTTTTTTCTGAAAGTAATTTGGGGGCAAAGTTCACAGTAACTTTTCTTCACATTTATTTCTTAGTCCACGAATCCGTTGCTGAAATGTTTCCCTTTGGTGCTATGCGGTGTCCAGTTCCTGTCTAGATGGAATGTTCTGGGTCAGTGAACATTTTTCTTTGTGAGGCAATTAGTACAGAAATAAGATATTTTGATAAATTGTTTCATGGTTGAGTTACAAAAGGAGTCACTCTCTTTGAAATATTTCAGTTGTGTCATTTTGGCAGTGAACACGAAGGGAAGCTTGTCTAAGAAGTTCGTAAGTTTATATGCGTTCCTTTTTTTCCTCCACGGGTTCTGCTCTCAAGGATTGAACAGCACATTCATTTTAAATTTAGAAACAAAATCTTGGACTTAGTTATTTTCATTTGGAAATCATAATTTTTTTTTAACATTGGAACCAGCGCTGAGGTCTTGAAGCAGTGATGAGGTTGCAGGCCTGCAGAGGATAAAAAGCTGAGGCCCTCTGGCAGGGAAATGGGTCATTCTTAGGACCATGGATTTTACAAAGAGGAGCAGATTCTGCCCCCTCATCCCGGGGCGTGGCAGGGAGGGCTTCTTGTCAGGTTGGTGTTCCCATTTCCCTCTCTCCTGTGCGATCGAGGTTTGGCAACACGTGGCTTTAAAAATGCTTAGACATCTTGAGTTTGTTAGAATCTGCTTCTCCTTTTCCCCTCTTATTAGGGATTCTCAACAAGAACATCAACCAAACTCCCTTTGGCCCCATGTAGTTTGTGCACAGATGGTCCCTGGCTTAAGTGCTTCACTTACCATCTTTGGTTTTATGATGTTTCGAAAGTAATAGGTGTTTGAACTTTGCATCTTATTTAAAAACCTATTTTTTTTAAAGAAAATATCTTTTTATTGATTTCAGAGAAGAAGAGGGAGAGAGCGATAGAAAAACATCAGTGATGAGAGAGAATCATTTATCGGCTGCCTCCTGCATGCCCCCTACTGGGGATCGAACCTGTAACGGGCATGTGCCCTGACCCAGAACGGAACCTCACCGAACCTCACCACCTGATTCACAGGTCGATACTGAACTCCTGAGTCACAGCGGCCAGGCACATTTTGCATCTTGATCTTCTCCTGGGTTAGCAATATGCTTACGCTCGCTCCTAATGCTGGCCAGCGGCAGCCAGCGCAGCCCAGGTCAGTCCCCGACCAGGAGTAAACGGCCGGCACTCGGGCAGCGCGGCGCTAGTGCACGTTTGACTTCGATATTTTTAACTTAGGGCGTGTTTACGGAGGTAACCCCGTGTTAGGTCCAGGAGCACTGTGCTTGGGTAGCATACTCTCCATACTCCCTGCATTCGTCACCCTGTCTGAAAAGGGCCCAGGAGGCCAGAATCACCTGCTTAGTTTTTTAACATTCGCATTATTTGATATGGAGACTCTTCTACCAAAAAATGACGCTGTTTCCCTGTCAGCTTGCTTTCGGGAGCAACGAGTCTGTCTTTGGACCACAAACTGGTAAAATACTTGGGCTCGGCTTTCAGACCTGACCTTGAGGATGTGTGAGTTTTACCCTTCGCTACTCAGATGCTTAACTGACGGGTGAGCTTGTTGGGAGGCGGAGGGAGGATCCAGAGAAGGGCACGAAAACGCCTCCATCCCTGTCAGTGAGACTCATTCAGGCCACGGGACCTACCTGCCAGGCAAGTAAGAGGCGGAGGGCTTGCCTCTCACCGAGGCCCCTTCTTTCTCAGAGAAGATACCACAGTCCCTTTCCCAGGCTCCCAGGGCTTTGGGCTGTTGGTGGGACCTGGGATTTCTTTTAAACCAGTCCATCCGCACCGGCTCCGATGGAGTCACGCTGGTTGCGGAACTGAGGAGATTAGCGTCTTTGCTTTATGTTGGCAGATGAGACGAAATGCATCGGGAGAAGGTGAATTCATTAAACGGCTTTCGGTAACCTGCGCCGATGTCACTGGGCCATCTCGCCTCCTTCTGGGACACGGCTGCCTGCATGGTCTGCATTTAGTCACACTAGTAATTCAGGGTAACTTTTTACCTTACCTTATTATTCAAAAGCATTTTTATTGATGAATAACTCAATACATTTTTATTGGTTTCAGAGAGGAAAGGAGAGGGAGAGAGAAACATCAATGATGAGAGAGAATCATTGATTGGCTGCCTCCTGTACGCCCCTCACTGGGGGTCAAGCCCACAACCTGGGCATGTGCCTTGACTGGGTATCGTACTGTGACTTCCTGGTTCAAAGGTCAGTGCTCAACCACTGAGTCACCCCAGCCGGGGCAATTCAGGTTAATTTTAATGTAGCTGCTTAATTTGGGAGAGTAGGTGAGGCATGAAGCCAGCCCCATTAGCCTGTGCATGTGAGGTTCGCTTTGACCACAAGAGGGAGCCACGTGCTCACGTAAGGAGTGTCTTACTTCAGGGAAGGCCTTTATTTTGTCTAGTTATTTATCCAAAGGAACACAAAAAGCTGGGAGTTAGCTCAGTGTGGTTTGTTAAGCTCAGAGACTGATATAGCAAACCTTACAAGATAACTCACTATCCATAGATGGTGCTTTAACACAAGGCGAAGGTGTGGGAACCATCCGAGCTGGATTTGTGTCTTACTTTGGAGAGTGACTCTCAGTCTGAAATCACATCTTCACACCGTATCGAGCAGCTGACCCCCAGGGTCCCCTGCGGAAGGGTCTGGTCAGTCCTGATTCCGTTCCGGCCACGGGGCCTCGCCCTGAGCCCGCACCCCACGCGCGAGCTCCTTGGAGGCCTGTGTAAGGAATTCTGCGAACACGTCCGTGTTTCACTCCAGAATCACAACCTGAGATTGCTTTGGTGTCTCATCATGAAACATACTTAAAACGTTGGGATCTTTTTTAAATATATATTTTATTGATTTTTTACAGAGAGGAAGGGAGAGGGATAGAAAGCTACAAACATCAATGAGAGAGAAACATCGACCAGCTGCCTCTTGCACACTCCCCACCAGGGATGTGCCCGCAACCAATATACCTGCCCTTGACCAGAATCGAACCCGGGACCCTTCAGTCTGCAGGCCGACGCTCTATCCACTGAGCCAAACCGGCTTTGGCTAAAACGTTGGGATCTTAAACTCCTGGCAAATGCTATTGTTCTGCAATGTTAATGAATTTTGCTCTTTCCGGTACATTTTTGCAAAAGATCAGGGAATTAAAAAAAAGAAAAAAGATAACTTGTGAGAACAGGGTATGTATAAATAGCTCCCGAGCTATTTAGTTTCTTGGAAATGTTCTGAGCGCCACTTAAGCCTTAGCAGAAAGCCGGCTGTGAGGACAAGCTGCAGGCTTCCTCCGCTGGAGGTTTCCGTTCTCCTCTCCGGGGACCAGCTGCCGGGCCGCCGCTCCGTCTCCTGCCTGATGTGGAAAAGCTGCTCAGACTGGAGAGACAGGGACGCCTCACAGCTGGCCCCCAGGCACGGGCGCTGTGTGGTCCCCCTGAGCCCTTCGAGGCCGGAAGCCTGCCTTCCACCCACAAGAGGTCTTCACTAGTCCCCGGCGGTGCCAGCCACTTCAGCCTCAGACTTTCCACCCCGGGTCCAGGACTTAAAAAGAAAAGAGAGAAA